AAGGGAGTCATCTGACTGTGACTAGGCAGAAGTCTAGCAGGATCCTAATCAAACTACTGCTGCTTTAGTGGCAATTCCACAAGCTTCCTCTTAAGCATGAATCATTCGCAAGGGAAGTTTGCCAGAGCCGGGGCTACAGGACTCGGTCCGTACAGGAGGCAGGGCTCAGCAGAGCTAGAAATCACACCAGGGCTCTGTTTCATGCAGGACTCTAGTAGCCAGACACAATTCAACTAGCTCTGTCCTTCCACAGAGCTTTCAGCCGGAGGCCACCTGTGCGCTAGGCAGCAGAGTGGAGTTCTGCTCGGAGGAGCTCCCTGGAATCCTGCCACCACGTCTGGCTGCTGCCATCTGCTGCTCTAAGACAAACCGTCAGGGTACCTACAAAGCCAGTCTCTGTCCCCGCTATCCCTTCCAGTGTACACGGCTACGCTAGAGGGCTAACTGGCATGTGCTGCATTACTAGCCTCCGTCTGTCCAAAGAGGCAGCAGCGTCATCTGCCACGACTCCGCTAAATGGCCCTTAGGAGCTTGAGCAGTGAAACCAGAGGCCTTCGGAGAGCGATGAATTCACCACAGAGGTTGGAATCCTCAGCATTCCTGAGACACGCCACACCAGCAAACTTTCGTACGCGAGCAAAGTCAGTCCAAGGCCAACTGTTAGATGGCCAGATCTCAGCGAGCACCTCAGTCTGGAGCGCCAGAGAGCAAATGGTGCCCTGTGATCTGCCTGGTCTCCACACGGGACGGGAACAATTGCTTTCACCAAGCCTGACGCCAGGTGGGACAGTGGGAACGAGAATCTAGTCTGTCCCATTTCCTCACCCCCCAGAACTGAAGTCTGCCAAACCCTACTGGACACCCAGACAAGCAGAAAACCAGTTTCTCCCCCTCTCCCCCCCCCCCCCCAAACACAGCCAGATCTCAGGACTGTGCACTCACCAGGTGGAACTCAAGCCTTCCTGAATGGGCCAGGAGACTGGCTTAGAGGGGATCAGGAAAGCCCCTTTCCCACAAATGCTGACCACTGACCACAAGAGTTTGCTGTTACTAGGATGGGCACTTCCACAGAGAGTCAGAGAATTTCTGCAGATTTCAAACCCACACACACTGCTGTAGACAGGCAGGAGGTAAGTCCCAGCGAGAGTCCATAGGGGACTCGGCCTTCACCCCTCAGCCCCCTGCAGCCCTTACCAAGGACAGTGAAGCATCGAAGGACCTCGTTGTGGTTTTTTAAACTCAGGGGGACGGAGGACTCCACCGGGGCACAAATCTGTGGGAGGGAAACAGTCAAATCAATGAGAGCTGGGCAGCACCTGGCGTTCAGCCCCTATACCAAACCCTTTCAGCTTGAGTTCCGCTCGCAGGCACCAAGTCCACACTCACAGCTGGACCTGGCCAAGGGAAGAGCCCAGCATTTCACAGTCCCGGAATCCATGCCACATGCTGCATGTGATGCTCCCAGAGCACTCTGGGCATTGGATCATTGTGAAGTAGGCTGGAGAAGCTGCGTGCACCTGCTGGCACAGACCTTAGCACTCTTTGGTCATTCAGTGCTAGCAGAGCGCACGGGTTCCAGAGACAAGGCTCACTGGACAAGCTGGGGGGGTGCAGTGGCCTTAGTATATGGGATCAGCTAGTTGTGGGTTTGGGGTTTTGGAGCTGCTACGCATTTCCATTTCATGTGTAGTTTAACAAGATCAGAGCATGATCTATTTCCTTTGCAAGTCATTGCAGACTCCCTTCTTTTAAATACTAAAAATTGCTCTTTGCAGACTGCTCTAATATGCAGTTTATCTGGGGACCCCCTCCCCATCTGCTCCCTCTCCAGCTTGCAGACAGGACATATTTCTTACCGGCATACCGCAGCAAGCTGCTCATTGTCTGTACTTGTGCCAGAAAGATCCTGGCTGTTCAGGTCTTTTTGGCGGATACTATTATATAACTGTATTGGTTAAAATCAGGGACTCCACTCTCCACTTCTGACCCTGAGAACAAGCCCTTGTGAGCGGCCAGGCTGGGTCAGACCAATGGTCCATCTAGCCCAGTGTCCTGTCTTCCGACAGTGGCTGGTGCCAGGTGCCCCAGACGGAACGAGCAGAACAGGGAATCAAGTGATCCATCCCCTATTGGACATTCCCAGCTTCTGGCAAAGTGTTACATCCCTGCCCATCCTGGCTAATAGCCATCGATAGTGTGGGGCACAGGTCATGGCTGGAGGATTCTCTGCAACTTGAAGTCTTTAAACCAGGATTTGAGGACTTCAATGGCTCAGACATAGGTTAGGGGTTTGTTAAAGGAGTGGGTGGGTGAGATTCTGTGGCCTGCGCTGTGCAGGAGGTCAGACTAGACCAGGGGTAGGCAACCTATGGCACGCATACCAAAGGTGGCACGCAAGCTGATCTTCAGTGGCACTCACACTGCCCGGGTCCTGGCCACTGGTCCGGGGGGGCTCTGCATTTTAATTTAATTTTAAATGAAGCTTCTTAAACGTTTTAAAAACCTGATTTACTTTACATACAACAATAGTTTAGTTATATATTATAGACTTATAGAAAGAGACCTTCTAAAAACATTAAAATGTATTACTGGCACGTGAAAATTTAACTTAGAGTGAATAAATGATGACTTGGCACATCACTTCTGAAAGGTCGCCGACCCCTGGACTAGATGATCATAATGGTCCCTTCTGACCTTAAAGTCTAGGACAGAACTAGATAAGTTCCTGGAGGACAGGTCCTTTTTTTTTTTTTTTTTTTTTTAAAACCCTGTTATAGTTTTGGCCTTCACAATATACCCTGGTAACGACTTCCACAGGTTGATTATGCATTGTGAAGAAATATTTTCTTTTGTTTTAAATCTGCTGCCTATTAATTTCATTGGGTGATCGCTAGTTCTTGTGTTATGAGAATGAGTAAACAACACTTCCTTATTCACTATAGACCTCTATCACATCCCCACTTAGCCGTCTCTTTTCCAAGCTGAAAAGTCTCAGTCTTATTAATCTTTCCTCATATGGCAGCCGTTTCATACCGCAAATCATTTGTGGCCCTTCGCGGTCCCTTTTCCAATTCCAATACATCTTTTTTGAGATGGGGCGACCACATCTGCACACAGTATTCAAGATGTGGGCGTACCATGGATTTATAGAGGCATTATGATATTTTCTGTCTGGTTCTCTATCCCTTTCCTAATGATTCCCAACATTCTGTTTGCTTTTTTGACGCTGCTGCACACTGAGTGGATGATTTCAGAGAACTATCCACAATGACTCCAAGATCTCTTTTCTGAGTGCTAACAGCTAATTTAGACCCCATCATTTCATATGTAGAGTTGTATATAGAGTACTATTTCATTAGCATACAGTCTGCATAGGATTGACATCCATTATCTTATAGTCTTATTTTGTCTGTTAAAAAGTTTTCTACACGCAGGTCTCACCACCTTCAGTTCCTCGGCTATAGTCACAGGCCTGCTGTCCAACTAGCACATCCGGTAAAACGGGTGTTTTCAGGTACCTTAGTGCAGCTAGCGTTAGACTGGGGGTTTAGCATTTTAACAGCATTTGTTTATCAGTGTGACGGGCTCTCATATCAGCAACTCCAGCTGGGAGCCTGGGCAAAGCAGTGGTGGAGGAAGGGCACTGAAGAGCACACGTCAATGCCTTGTGTGTTGCCCATCCCCCAGCCACGTGGAGCCCAGGGCACCTGATCTTTCAGGCCCCAAAGGAAAACAAAATTAAATATTAGCTTAAAAATACATTACCGTGATTTAAAAGGGGGCCACCCCATAGACTGAGGCCATCTGATCAAGGGGCTCAACTCCCTCAACCCACATATGGTTTGGCGAAGGAGTTCAGCAGCCATAGGCTGGCCCAGGCTAGGCTGAAGAGGAACAGGGGCTGGATCCAGCCCACAGGCCATAGTTTGCCCTCCCCTGTGCTAAGGGCTTGGAGGGGAGGGAGCGTGTGTCGAGATTAGATACTCAGGGACATTAAAAAGCTGCAATAGGAATAAGTTCATTTAGCAGCTAGCAAGAGAAAACTGGTTGCTGGTGGGGAAGCACTTGGAATCTTCGGCCAAGTCCACAACAGCTGTCCCAGAGGTACGTAGTCTGGACAATCCTAGGCAATGCAAACCTACCCCTAGGTGCACCTAACAAGGAACGCTCCCAGCCAGTTACAGACTCCACCACGGGAAGCCAGTGACCTCCCACCTTTCCAGCCTCAAAAGAACCATGCACGACTCCCCCCCCACCTACCAAGGTTTGGCACCCCACCCAGAAAGATCCCAAACACACCACACACAAAAGATGGAGCCAACAGTCCTGCCCTACTAGGATGAAGGTGAAACCTCAGTTCCTGTATATGCTACTGAGAAACCATGGACAACTGGTGCTTAACAGTTACAGGATTAATCTAGAGGTTGGTGCCAGACCACCCCTGTAGGGCTCCCACATGAATAAGATGCTCCAGGATACGCCGATCTTGCTCCCGGGATTATTAGCAGTACTTGGTGCTGCTCATGCCTAGTTTTCAACCTTTCAAGGGTTTGTCTTTTCTCCACACGTGATTGTGGATTCTGTCTTTACTGCTTCGCTGAGAGTGGGGTGTGACCCTTGTTCAGGACAGCTGGGGCAGGAGAGCAAACAGCTTCTGATCCTGCTAGCAAGGGACTGGCTCCTCCTCTCCCCTGGCCAGGGTAAGGGCCATCAGGGAAGGAGCTCTCTGCTAGCAGGAGCACCTCAGGGCAGCTAGGAGGCACCAAGCCAACTTTCTCTCTAGCAGAGAAACGTGCTCCATGTTCCTCGGCAGCTCGCCCTGAACTGTGCTGGTAGCAGCGGCTGCTCCTTCCAAATACCTCTCGCCCCTTCTGGAACGTGCACAGGCCGGCCAGCCTGGCCCCTGCCCTCAAACCAGAAATATGGTCTGTTTAAATGGAGACATTTCTCCTGCCTCATTCCAAATTGGAGCCTGGGGGCTTTCTAGACTGGGAAGTTCCTTCTGCAAAGTGGGGGAGAGTTTCGGGTAGGAGGCCCCCAACACCCCCAGTTCTCAGCTGGATGCAGGTGGCTGCAGCGCTCGGATGTGAACTGCAGCCCCAGGCTCCGGATCCCACGTGCCGTTTCCTGAGACACGTCTGGGCTCCCCAGCCCCCAGCCCTGCTGGCCCATCTCGCTCCTTACCTGGGGATGCAGGGTGCTCAGAAGGGCATCAAGCTGCGTGTCCAGAGTGCGGCTGCCAACGTTGACGGAAGCCTCAAGAATCTGGCACAAGCTCTGCTCAGAAAGACATTGCAATGCTGCGATTAGCACGAGGAAAAGGAACCGCCGCCCCGCTGGAAACGAAAGGGTAACGACTTGGCGATCGGGAGCAGAGAGACGCCATCCCAGCGCGCGCTGAGCTACGGGGACGGGGCTGTAGTAGAACAAGTGCAAACATCATCCAACTGCTGTGGGTAAAGCACCAAGGAGGTCTCTGGAACTCATCCACCTTCCCCCATTCTCCTGCTGCAGCCAGCCACAGAGCAGCACCTCCGCATACCGGCTGCTGCAGCCGGCAGACGACCAACCCAGCCATCGCTTCTCTGCGAACAGCACTGTCTTGGGAGGCTCGCCTGGAAGTCCTCCCCTTACAGGCAGCGGGAGCCAAGAACAAGCAGAGCAAGGAGTCCAGGACAGAAGGAAATACAGCGGTCCCAGCACCAGAGTAGGACATGGGGCAGAGGGAGCGCTATACTCTGCCCCTCCCCGACAAAGAGGCACATGGTAGCACTAGCCGGGCCCTGGCCAATGGCAGGTTCAGCCTTTGGGGAAGAGGTATCAGCACCTGCCAATACCACACTGGCCAGCCTCAGTGGGGCCAAGCCAGAGCGTTTAGACCAGGCAGGATTTGTAACCGCATGGGTCTGGGCACGTGACACGAAGGGGACCCTTTGAACTGCTCCTTGGCTGCCAAAGCCTGGAGCGCAGTCGGACTGTGCTGGGCAGACTAGAAGGGCCTAGCAGGAAAGGAAGCGACAGGACTGTGGGTTCTCGAGGGTACGCGGCTTGTACTGAGCACGTGCACACCCACGGGGAGCCTATTGGAGAGGCAGTCTGCTCTCCTGTCCCACCCCCACCCCTGGGAGCACCCCAGTCAATGCTCCAAGGAGCACACATACATGGATTACAGGTAGCTGTGGGGGGACACAAGAGGGGGCCCCTCAGTCCCATGGGAGCAGCATGCTGAGCCATTTACCTTGGTCACATAAAAGGCCTCCACATGCTTCTTGTAGAGAGCGAGAATTCCCGGCACCAGTCTCGGGAGCTGCTCCTCGAGCTTTTCGCTGGGCATCAGGTGACTCATGGGCCCAAGAGCCTTCACGACGGCGAGTCTCAGCTGCAGGGACAGAAACAACCTGCAAGCGTCAGACTGCGCAGCCAGCCTGAGCCCTGTGCTGCTAGGCTGGTGCCAACACTGCCCCACAGCAGCACGACGGGCAGAGGGGTTGGTTTGTGCTCCTCGGGTGCCGGGAGACATCTCAGGCTAGCCACCACGCAGACCGAGCCTGCTCCGAGGACCCAGCGAAAGGTGCAGCGGCAGTGTAATTTGCCCACTGCTCCACCAACCCAAGGGCAAGGGGAGCTGGGTCTCACCGTGCATTCAAAGGAGCCATTGGCACCAGGTGCTGACAGAGAGGGTGGATGGTGTAGCCAGGCCACCTTCCGTCACGCCCACATCCAGCTAGATGAAGCATGCCCGGTTTCTTCCTGCATAGGGTTTGGATGTTGCCTCCTCTCCCTTAGGTTCAGCTGACACCCTGATGCTAGCAAGGGGTGCACACAACTCTCCCACGCCAAGCTGCGTAACTTAGGGACGGAGCGACAACTACAGCTGTCCCAGAGGGCAAACACTGGCATGGTGTTCGAGAGCAAGACAGGTGCTTCTTCAGCCAGTGTCTTTAGGGTGGGATGGTGGAGAAAGGCAGACTACAGACCCCTGCATGAACAGTGGGAGGCCCAGTCTGACAGTGGAGATTTAGGGGGAAGGGAGAAACCCACTGCCACGCAACTGCTCAGGGCTGTAGCCACACCACACTACCAAATGACACAGCCGCACCTTGGCCTCCCGGCTCTGCAGCCAGATGTTGAAGAGCACATCGTAGGCGTTGAAGATCTCATTGGAGAAGGTGTCTTTCCTTACAGTGGGGTCAGGCGCTTTATCCAAGTTCGCCAGGTATTCCTGGATGCTCTCACTGAAATGCTGCAGAGCTACAAGACAGATGTACTTACATTTAGAACACACACACACACACACACACACACACACACACACACACACACACACAGAGTGAACAGCAGGCTTTCGACTGAGGTCGGAGATGCTGCTGTTTGAGGAATATCCAGCATCCTGGTGCTGGAGCAATTCCCCTGTAACACTTTATTAGCAGAAGCACCACAGACCTCCAGCACTGAAGGTGTGGCCTGTAGGAGAGGTCTGCAGCGGTCACAAGTCGACAGGATGCTTTTACTGGGTTGCTCCTGTGCTTTAAGGCCTGGATTTAAGACCTTTAGTCCCCATTTCGGTGCAACAGCTCCTGACAACTGGCATCTCGAGTCCGAAGCGGGGCCTATGTCTCGACTTAGTCCATTTGGAAAGCAAAGAGGAGACCTGGTGTTCAGGCTCTGTGCAGAACCCAACCCAGAGGGTTCCCCTGCAGAGGGATCCTCCCATGGTTTGGAACAGTCTTTGACTAATCAATAGGTCTGACCAGCAGGTGGCTGGTAAAGTTTCCTACTCAAATACACGAGGGGTGGGCAAGAAACGTTGTGCCGAGCAGAAAGGAGAGAACGCACAAGGCAGGTGACGGTGTGGGAGAAGCACACCCTGGTCTAGGACGGGAAAGAACAGGGGAAGAGCGGGGTGGTTTTTAAACATTAAATTAACCACACTAGCTAGACTGACAGACTGCTACAGCAGCCCTGGCCCACAACCTCCTCCTTCCTTTAAGGTGAGGGGCCAGGCTGGCACAGGTTCTCCCCCAGCGGATTCATTTACTCCAGGGGGTCTCAAACTGGGGGTCGTGACCCTCAGAGGGTCGCGAGGTTATTACATGGGGGGGTTAACGAGCTGTCAGCCTCCACCCCAAACCCTGCTTTGCCTCCAGCATTTATAATGGGGTTAAACATATAATAAGGTGTTTTTCATTTATTGGGCGGGGGGGGGGGGGGGGGGGGGCCC